AAAACTCTTGGCCTTACGTTGGCTAAGCAAGTGCTCCATCACTGAACTACCACCTTATCTCTCAAAATGAGTGATTTTGATATCTGTGGCATATTTCTTTTCAAGTTACGTGTTTGTTGTAACAAGGAAAACTACAGTGTGACATTAGGTGACGAATAACTGAAAGTAACCTTTATAGTTCACATGTGACTTTTGGCAATAAGTCAGAAAGAGCTTTAAAAAGTAAACAGCACTACATAATAAAATTGATATTTCTACCTACTTACTCACATAAAAATGTGTTTTTAGAAAAGAATAGAATTGTTAGGCCATTCTAATTTTTGAGCTAATACTTATCCATGGAACGTTATTTGGGAAAACAACTCTAATCATCTCATTGTGTTATATTTCTAGTAAAATCTTACAATTTATATTTTCTTACAAATTTTATAATGGCTTTGATCAACAAATTATGATAAATCAATTCCTGAAACTGTTAAATTTCATAACTTAATAAGAAAAAAATTAATTTTCAAGTTTTAAGTACAAATTGTTTGAAAGCCTAATCATTGAAATACTTTTAAACAAATGAATGTTTAGTATTTAGATAAGATTCCAATGGAGTAATCTAAATTTAAAAAATTAGTCCAGAGTTGAGAATAAAAAAACACAAAATTTCAAAGAATGATGTTATCTGTTTAATTTATAATGTTAATAGAATGACAAAAATAAAATCTTTTACAACTGTTTAAATTTATGATAAAAAATATTGATAACTTAAAATCTGAGGGGTGTGTAATTTGTAAATTTTATTTGAGTGAAAAGTACAAAAAAGCACTTTGTATTAACTTCCCAAGGCAGTAAATTTTAATTTTGGCAAGGATCTTTGATAGACAAAACTCTGATTTTAATTCTAATTAAAATCCAGACTTTGCTTATGCTGTAAACATCTCAATAAAAACCATTCCTCTTCTATTTTGGAATTTATTATTTCTTGTCCAGCTGGGATCCAAACATACAGAAATGAGCCATAATGGGAAAGAGTATACAGCATTGAATGACTAATTCCAGGAACTTTACAAATTTTCTGTTTAGACTTGCTTTAGAAAAGAATCCTTTGGGTGGATTGTTCTGGTTTGTTTAGTTAATGCAGGTTGCAACAAAGAAAGAAAAAAAAAGATGCACAACTATCAGAGCCAACTTATAACTACGGGCCTTTTTCTTCAAAAAACAACTGTACTCTCCTTCTCCTGTTAGGAAGAAGTACATTAAAAACAGACATCTACATCTACATCTACATCTAGAACGTATTTTTGCTCAGAGATTTTTATTTCCTTGTAAATAGCTATGCACATTCACAAAATGGTCTCTGAAACTTTTTGCATCTTATTCAGTTTTCTATCCATTTCCAAATGTTGTAAATTTATTGCACATGATAGAGGATTTCTTGGCAAATAGCTCATGGAAATTTCAGTGTCTAATTCCTAGTTCTATATTGAAAATTCAATTAAGATCAACAATGATCTACTTTTAAAATAATAGATTCCCTCCATATACTATCTCTTTTGCCTGTTTTCCACTTCAGCTACCCCAGAAGCCTACCTTTTCTAAATTGTCTCCTATGCTAGAGACACATACATTTTCTGATGTGACATTTAACCTTCAAAAATGCAGAAAACTATCCAGGCTAGTTCTTGTGGCTAGTGGCCATGCTGATAATCCTAGCTGTTTAAGGGGATTGAGACTTGGAAGATTGCTGCTTGAAACCAGTCCAGTAAGAAAAGTTCCCAAGCAGCCAACAAAAAAGCTATGCTTACAGGCATAGTTCAAGTGGTAGAGTGCTGGCCATAAGCAAGCAGGCCAAATAAGAGTGAAAGACTCTGAAGTTCAAACCACAGTATAAAAACAAACAAACAAACAAACAAAAAACACCAAAACCAGAGAACTAGCAGGGCACAGTGTCTCACGTCTGTAATCCCAGCTACAGTTCAAGTCCAAAACAAGCCAATATTCAAGGCCCTGTTCACCCCCCCCACCACCAAAAAAATGATCTAAAGTTAAAAAGGGCTGAGAGAATGGCCCAAGCAGCAAGCCTGAGGCTCTGAGTTTAAACCTAGCAATACACTCAAAGGAGAGGGTGGGGGGAATAAGCAAACAACTACCTCCTATCTTTAAGTAGTATAAATCTCAAACTTCTAACTCTATCCTAATACCGAACGTCTCAATAATGATATTTTCCCACTAGTTTCTGGATCAATCAATAAAACAAGATGGTGCAAATCTACTAAGAGTATATTTGGAGAAGTAAGATCAACTCTTGCATACTTCCTTGGGTCATTTTCATTTTAAGTTTCTTGTAAAAGAAATGTCAAAAAACGAAAATATCTCTTCTATATCCATTCATGTCCAAGTCCCTGTGCAGTCTTGATAATCTTAAGAAAGCTCAAAGTAATTGTGAACTCACCTCTGTGCTATGTATAGCTGCACAAACTATAATTAATGATTCTTCCAGATTAAGTATTGGAAGTTGTATTGAGGCCTTTGATCTTTCCATAGGATAAATTCAGCAAAAACCTTTTGTGGAGAGACACCTGCCTCACTGTTAAATGTTCAGGGTCAAGTACAGTGTTAACACACAGTAAGTCCTTTGTATAACTGAATTGATGGATAGCTGACTGGATGGAAGCTGACTGTTTTTGACATCATCTGATAATTAGATATGATCATCTAGCCAGTGAGGTATCCTCCTAAATGTAATTCAATCAAGAACATTGTATTTTACATTTTTCTTGAGAATATCACTCAGGATTCTACCACATGCTAACTTCCTGTACACAACTTGGGCTCTCTATGCAGACCACAATAGCCCACATTTCTTAAGCCTGATTGAGATTAATGCATGCCAAACACATGACTTGGTTCTCAAGAAGCAGTCTCTAATCTGGATTGTCACTTCCTTAGCCCTTATTTTTCTTTTCTTTTTCTTTTTCTTTTTTTTGTCAGTCGTGGGACTTGAACTCTGGGCTTGGGCGCTGTCCTTGCACTCTTCAGCTTAAGCCGAGAGCTCTACCGCTTGAGCCACAGCACCACTTCTGGTTTTCTAGTGGTTTATTGGAGATAAGAGTCTCATGGACTTTCCTGCCCCGGCTGGCTTTGAACCGTGATTCTCAGATCTCAGCCTCCTGAGTAGCTAAGATTATAGGTGTGAGCAGCCCGTATTTTTACAGATTGGAAACTAAGGCTAGTATATGAATGACAGCGCTCTCAGAATTGCTATCTCAGTTTTTGCAGGTATGTTAACTAGCCATAAAGTTGTATCATTCAAATACTGTGATGGAAGCACAATATAAAAATGTTGGCACACATTAGGGTTTAAACTTGTAAATAACCAGACAAGTCACAATGTCGTAAAAGAAAGATTTTAGGTTTCTTTGGTGAAACAAAAGCAGATATAAAAAGTTACAAAGATTTTTAGATTCTCATTCACAGAAAAGATCATTCACATTTTACACTATACATGTTATAAATACAAGAAAGTATTATGTGCATGGTAATGAAAAAAGAAAAATTAAAAGCTAATAGGTTAGCACAGTGTTTTCTTGTGCTTCAGAGCCCTTGGGGAGGTAACGAGAACCAAGACAATTTGCTTAGACACTATGTGTCATTGAGCTGGAGTCATTCTCTCGGCTAACGGAGGACTTATGAAAAGAATCAATATTGGACGAAGCTCAGTCTGCTCATTTTTCTATTTTCCTTTTTTCTTTCTAAAGGTTTAAATTAAATGTATTCTAGCAGATACATGAGACACAAAAGTTTTACATACCTATGAGGTGCCAGGTGATTTACCAATACTTGTGTGCCTTTTGTAATATTTAAATTAGGGTAATCTTTTCTATCTTCTCCAAAATCTATCATTTCTGTTTGCATTTTGTTTGTTGGCTATTCTAGAATCAGGGAGAATCCTAAATGTCTTAGTTCTATTATTTTTTTTGTCCCTTAAACAAATTAAGTGGCTAAGGATTCAAAATCATCTTTAACAGTCACTTTATTCCAAAAGCAGGGAGAAAATAGAGTTGGAAGAGGTCAGCATAAGTTCTAAAATACATACTTCACCTAAAAGGAAGAAATGTCCGCACTATTTCTACACATAAGCTCTTGCTTAGAATGGGCAAACATCACTTGCGGAAAACTATACACTTTTTCACTCTTCATTTTAAACACTTGATGCAGTCTAACCATCACATTTTTTAATCAGGGACAGAGTACCTAAATTATATGGTTCTAAACTGGGTAAGTATGAAAGTTTACAGTTTTTAAAAAAACAAAAACAAAAAAAAACTTGTAGCATACAATATCAATTTTCAGGTCTTGGGGAAAATAACATCCAATAAATTAAATCTGTATGGCTTACTTCATTTATTTATGTATGCTTCACAGCTGCAGCATTCACACATGAACATTCAAAACTTTATAAAAGATTAAAATGGTTATATATACAAAATTTCAGGGTTTTTTTTTAACGTATGTGTTGTTGTTTTAACAATCCCCCACCCTCCATGAGCCCTTGGTCTCTATCCATTTGAAATGCCTTGAGCTGAAACTTTACAAGAGTTAGTGTTATGAATGCCATTAAAAAGTAGACCTGGTTGAGTTAATAATTAGCACTTCGACCCCTAAAAATTGCTCCCGGTCATAGAAAAGTCCTCCATCAGGCCTTTCTTGTAGGTGAAGGGAAAGAAATGCAGCCAAGAAGAGTTCCACTTTGGAGTCCCTATATCCACCGGGGCCTCATTAAGCAGGATTCCGCATCCTGGGGACGTGCCCGGCACCCTGGCTGAGGCAGGTGCAGTGACCTACAAACGCTTGTTTGCTAGTTGTCCAGGAAAAGCCATCCTCAGTCTTGCTGACACACAAAACGAGCAAATCAAACCATTTCCAGCCTAAATAAACTATATGAAAGCAGCCAAACCAATGATTAAAGACCTCAAACGCTCCCTAATCATCATTAAATATGCCCAAACTCAGTGTGATCTTTTTTATTTTATATACAGGATTTTTAAAAAATCAACATTAAATCATCTTATTTACATGGCCATCGGTGCTGGAATTAAGCTTTTTAAATAGTACAGAAGGCTGGTATATGTGATGAAATGTTCTGCACTGGAGACAAACAGAAAGCTAAAGAAATTAAGTAGGCTGGAAATGGTCTTTTCTGCCCTCGTTCCCTTTCCTTTTTTGTTCACTTTCTTTTTGAGTGTCAATACGTTCGTCTTGGGGGCACAGCCACCCAAAACGACTGGACGGTGATCCAAAACTCCAAAGCAACTGATAATACTTCTCGAGGTGATAAGAAAGGCACAAGAAGTTAGGACTTTGGCTGTAATGATGAAAACACATGTTCGCCATGTAAAGGATCAGCGCCTCGACTCCTGCCACCTCCGGCTCCAACGATGATCGTGTTTTGTTGTATTTATTGAATTGTCCTGGGCTGATGAGGAATTTTTTAAGTATTTCTTAGAATAAGTCCTTTGGTATGCAGATGCTACATGGAAGGAAAGAAAAAAAGAAAGAAAACACAACAATATTACTTGCTCCATACCCTAAACTACCAATACTGTAGCGGTAAAATGAGGATGTCTAGAAGTTTCTATAGCACGGCTGTCCATTCTTTCTAAAAGACCACTTACGGTTCATGCAGGTTATTTTAGGCATTGCCCATCTTCCATTTCCTAGGCATCGGATAGTAGGAAGGTGGCGTTGAATAAAACCATCTTTGCAGTGGTATCTAATCAAGGAGTTGATTTCATAACGAGGCTTCATCTTTCCAAAGGTCTTGGCATTTTCTACAACAGGGGGCTGGCCACAAGCAACTAAAGAAAAGCAAATTGGGTTATTTCCAAATCAAATAAGTATTTCAATTAGTATGAGCCTGACTCTTTCTCTGTGTGTCTCTGTCTCTGACTCTTTCTGTGTCTCTCTCTGTGTCTCTCTGTGTCTATCTGTCTCTCTCTCTCTCTCTGTCTCTCTCTCTATGTCTCTCCCCCACCAAACTTCATACCTTCATAAAAGGCAATAATCTAGAACTAAAAAATTGAAATTGTTCAAAATAAATAAGTTGATTCCCTGGGTGTAGTTTGGATATGAGATCATTCCATTGAAATGTGTTCTCACTAAAAAACTAAAGGTCACACATTCATCTATTCATTTAGAAAGACCACTATTCTAGCAAATTTCTAAATTAAAAATTATTTATCTTACAACATGGACCTTGGTTTCATCACCATCCCCCAATTTTTATTTATTATGCAGTGCTGGTTAGGGTAATAATAGATTTGTAACCATTAGCTATTATCACCATTTCCTTGTAAAGAAAAAAAACTGCCAAGTTATAATATCTCAGTTTTAAAACATGGACATACATGCCTAAGTGTAAATAAAATTTTGTCTAGTCTTACTTGTGCTTACTTACTTTTTTCTATCTCTTTTATAGAGACAGGGAAGTGAATAGCAATCTTGTCTCCATTTGTTATTGCTTCATTAATATATATTTATTGGTTTTGCTCTACATCTCTAATTGGAATGTGACAATGTAAATATAATTCTCCCATTATGGCATTTCAAAGTTTTATGATTGTGCTACCACAAGCCCAGCAGAATATGCCATATGGTCTCCTGAAATTACACACAGAGGTATGATGACTACCTCGGTATGGCAGTCATCTCAGGACTCGAATGTTTCAGTGTCAAACCTAATGTTGAAAGTTTATAACTGACACATTTATTGACATATATAGAAATCTGTTTACAATCGCAGTATTTTACAATAACAAACTTAGGTTTAACTCAAATATTTATTTCCTTTTATTAACTTTTGCTGACTCCAATCTAGATACTGACATGCTATTTTTATTATGATATAGAAAACCTACATTGAGATCCAAATACTAATAAGGATCCCATAGAATGAGACCAAAGCAATACAAGGTTTGAAGAGATCAATTACATAATTCACTATATATGAATCAGTGCTGGGCCAATAAATTGCTTGTTTTATCATTCGAATATGAGAATTGTATGGCTTTTTAAAAGTATGTATGTGTGAAGACTATTAAAAAGGCTAAAATAATTCAGTGAGTATGGCATTAACAAAAAAAGAACATAGATGAGAAATAGTTCCACATACCTATTCTTGATATTTGACAAAAACACGTAATAGCAGGGACAAGGGCATATAAAGCTTGCAGAGTTAGGTATTAATATGGAAAACTAGATCTGTTTCTCTACTTCAGAACATACAGGGAACATGAATTTTAGATGGTTTAAATATGTGAATATAAAAGGCAAAACTAAAAAATGTTCAGAAAACAATATCAAATATTTTATGAATTCAGGGTAATATGGATTTTTAAGATACAAAAGTTTAAACCCTAAAGGAACACTCAGACAAAATTAGGAATTATGCTCATCAAACTCTTGTAAGGTAAAAGGGGCAAAAACAGACTACAAACTGAAAAAAGACATTTGTAATCAATATAATGTTCAAGGGATTAGTAATAGAAATATAAAAAGAGCTCTTGAAAATCAATGTCTAAAACATAGGTAGAAAAAGTAAAAAATAGAGAACATGAGTAAAACTTTATGAAAGAAGTACTATAAATAATTCATAAGTGTATGAAAAGATATTCGCTACAAAGCATCCAAGAAAATTCAAGTTAGATCCCAGGGATACCATTTTATACCCACCACATTGGAAAAAATTTCCACATCCAATGATATCAAATTGTGTAGAAAATATAGACCTACAGGGCCTGTCGCACATTGCTAGTGGGTATATGAATTGGTGACACCGCATTGGAAAATAATTTGGCATTAACTAGTAAAAATGATAATACATATGTTTTTTTGACTCAATTATTTCACTCTTGGAATTGTATCCTACAGAGTCTCCCAAAAGACTAATGAAAAAAATGTATAAAGGTGCTCATAGAAAATTATTTATATATTTATAATGGTAAAAACACTATTACCCAAGTGTCCACTGTCAAGGAAACTGACAACAAGTTAGAAAACCATACAATAAATGCATACAGAAACAAAAGAAAAGACAATGCAGCTACATGTATCGGCATAGGTAAATATCACAGGCACAATGCTGAACAATAAGACAAGGTACAGAATGTAAACAATATAATTCCTCTTATATAAAGTTCAAGACTCTGCAAAACTAAGTCATTTATCATTTAAGGATATAAGCATGTGTGATAATATTAAATGGAAAAGTAAGACAATTAGGTCATTATCTACAGTGGGAATTGGAGAAAAATGGGAATGCAGTCTAGCAAGAACATATAACATATTTCGAGGAAATAATAACTGTATTGAGATGTTCATCTTTTTAAAATATACCTGTTCTCTATATTTAAATCCTTCATTCTAAGTAGTTAATATTTCATTTTAAAGTTGGAAAAATATTTTTAAAAGACTACCATCATCTATAAAATTTCTCAGAGCACTGATAAAAAAAAATTGCATTGTACAACAATGGAAAGATAGAGAATAGTTTATTCTCTTTCGATGAGAATAGAGCCAATTTAATCAAACTCATTTCCCATTGACAAACATAGAGCATAATGCTCTGATGGGGAAACTCTTTCAGCTATAGGGCTAGAGTGCTAAGCCTGGAACTATTCAACCCTGCATCCCTCCCCTGAGCCATTTGACCACATCTAGAGACACCTTGGGTTACCACAATGCAGAGGGAATATGAAGAGGGGGAGGGTGCTACTGGCATTCAGCTCATAGAAGGCAGGAATGGTGCTCAACCTTCTCCAATGCCTCCCACAATGAAGAATTATCGGGCTCCAAATGTCAATAGAGCTGTTCCTGAGAAACTCTACTATAGGAAAAAAATAACATAGAGAACATAAGTGTTTAGACCAAAAACAGAGAAGCGTGACTCCAGGACCACTCGGAGATCTAAGAAGGCAAACAAAACATTGGGATAAAGACAAACAGTTTATTAAACACTTCTTATATCGGAAAAAGGAAAACAGCAAATACTTGATTTGCTATTTTTACCATTTCCGTGATAGAAGAAAGGCACACAGTCAGGAAAGCTTCTTCTATAGACAGTGTACTGAGAGAAAGTTCTTTAATGAGAGTCGAGTAGAGTAGCCATGAGAGTAGCTGAAATTCCTCTGAGACTATGACTTAGTGTTGTCGTTCTCCCACTAGAATTTATTTTTGATTTTTAAATCTGTCCTACAGTACTTACAAAGTCTGTATTTTTGATTTTACTCTTTTATAATCAAAGACAAATCAAGTGGGTTTTACGTTTGGAAGTTGTCCTTTGTCTTCTTATTTGAGGTAGCTAAGAGTATTAGCCAGGGACTAGATATTCATGCTTTAATATCATTATCAAAAAATGGTGTTAATACTTTTAGGGAAGAAGTCTATATGAAATGCTTTAGAAACTGAAATGTATTTACCAATGATAAATACAATGTAGATACAGAAAGCAACTGTCTACGTTTTTGTTTTCTGTTTTATGTTAACCAAACTAGTCTCGTCATAGAAATTCTTTTACAAATGTCTTTATTATTCCTTGGACTACAGACATGGGGATGCCACTCTTGTTCTGTGGTTTATAAGCATAACTAAGCTTGCAAGGAAATGTTTGTTATGATACTGCCAGGTAGTTTACCTGTATAAATACCATAATACCATAAATGCCATATTTTTATCTTTAACACTTGAAATCCCAGGTGATTACTGAAACCAAACCTTTAAATTGTATTGAAAATGTATGCTGTTGCAGAGCAACAAGAAAGGACATGACATATCCAGTTTGTATAAAGAATGAAGGTTATTCTTCTTGAATGCTACTGCTAACTCACATGCAGGATAAGTATACAGTATTAATGGAGTAATCCTTACCTGTTCCTTTCTTGCAAGTGTAGGTGAGATGGTAATTGCAGGGAACATCATTCCACTGGCCATTCTCGTGCCAAATGATTACAACGCAATCTTCTCCAGCAGAAAAGAAGCTGTCTGGCTGGTTGGGTCTCCAGTTTTCATATTGCTACAAAAGTGGAGCAGCATGAAAATCTGACAGTCAAAGGCTACTGTAACAGCAACGATCACAAACTACTTAGAATAAACCCAACAATTTTTGATAGACTGCATAGCTGAAATTATTTTCATGGTAAAGACTGTTAAACTATTAGTGGAAAATACTGTAATTCAGTCTTTATTTCAAATACCTACTCTTGATTTTTATCCATCTATTCTTTACATATTTGAGAAAATTTTCTCTTTTTCTATATTTCTGAATATAGAATCAATCCTCAATTCAAGAAGTGTCATGATATCATTATCTATATTAACACTGATGCAGTGAAAAAAATCGTGTTCTTATTCGTCTGTCATGTGGTTTGCTAGACCACATGTGCACATAGAATGTTAAATAACTTGGATCATAGAGCAATAGAAGTTTTAGCTATTATTTCTTATCAGACCTACTATAAAATACCTTAATATTTTCTATTTTATATGAATGTCTTAAATCCAAGTTTATGTGTTTGACTTAAAGTTTAAACGATTGGCAACATTTTTTGTACTTGATATATGTATATTCATGATTATGTATACAACATTTCAAAATTACTTAGTTTTAGTTGTGATTTTTATTTGCACCATGCATTGTTTTGTTGTGTGATCTAATCTAGGAGTTATTTTCTTTTACTAAGAATATGTTAAAATTTTATGCATATTGTTATTTTAAAAAGTTTTCAAAATACATTGTACTACATGTTAAATTCTCTTTGTGCAATATGTATGCAGATAATTACTTTAATGTTTTAATACTGGCTCCTTCTATATCTATATTGTTTGTATGTATCAGCAGAAATACATTTAGCCTTCCACCATTGTCAAATGTCATATATCTAGCATCTGTAATGGATGATTTACTTACTATGTAGTATATCTTATAAGAATTCAGTTTAATTGGCAATAATTTAGAGCACAGAGATGTTAAACATACAGGGTTCTCTGATATAATTATTTTCTAAAATGTTGCCATGTCAATGAATAAGTTAAAACATTAAAACATTTTTTAAAACTCTGATTAGATGACATTAAGCTATAAACAAGAGACCAGTTAACTAGACTTGCTACCTGGAATGTGATGTTTCTTTTTTCAGAATCTCTCTACCTTTGTTTGATTATTAGTTTCCTATTAGGCTTTGCCTACTCTCTGGGTGTGTGTGTGTGTGTGTGTGTGTATGTGTGTGTGTGTGTATTTAGCAATGACAAGGCAACTGTTGAGAAACTTCTATAAAATGGAGAAAATGTTGGTTCTGACTTGTGTGACAGCAGATAATATGATTGTCTTCTGACCCTACAGATCTGGTAGTCTCTCCTTCAATTAAATTTTAGATGAGTTTGAGAAGAGTAAAGAAATTTATTTAGAGAACATAAAGTGATAGAAAAATTAAATTATGGTAATTGTTCTAAATTCAGAGCATGCCAGAAATTATAAAATGACTATTTACTTATACCCAACAGTACCCTATCCTTTTTATGCCCTTTAATATATGTAACACTTAATATTCAAAACTATATTGTTTTTAATTCCAAAATTTGAAATAAATATTTAAATAAAGTGTTTTTAGTACCAAATGTTTTCCTGTGTGATTTTAGTCTTCAATGCTGGGTCAAAAAAAGCTACAAAGTAATATTCTTTTATTTATGAAATGGAACTTTGTGGACCAAGAAACTCTAGTATAAGAACAATAAAAGTAACAATAAAAGACCTGAGAATATGAACCTTCTGTTCAGAAAAAAAACTTTTCAAAATTATAAAGATATAGATTTTTAATAAAAAATCTTAGGAAAAGTCTCAAGTTTGAAAAACTTTTTCTTTCAAACACTTTGCTTGATTGTACTTTAAAGTTCTCCTTGATCATGATAAAATTAATACAGAAGACAAGAGATCCCTGTTTTAAGTAAATCTGAGCTGGGCACTAGAGGCTCATGCTTATAACCCTATCTACTCAGAAAGCTGAGATTTGAGGATCAGGGTTTAAAACCAGCCTGGGCAGGAAAGTCCATAAGATTCCAGTCTCCAAAAATCACCTCAGAAAAGGCCAAAAATGGAACTGTAGCTCAAGTGTTAGAGCACTAGCTTTGAGAAACAGAATCTCAGGGAACAGTGTTAAAGTCTTAAGCTCAAACTCCAGGACCAGCACCAAAGAAAAAAGTCTTGAAGAGTGATAAAACAGCAAAACTGTAAGGAATTGAGGATTAATAGGGTTTAATAACCTAACCCTAGTGATCCTAATGATCTTAGTGATTCCCACAAACAAGAAAAATCACAATATAGGATGTTTAATTTTCTCTGGAGGAAAACCTAATCTCAAAAGCCATGTACATATGACCATATAAGATGATGCTAAGTGAAATGAACCCCAAGATATGGACACAAGAGGTCTGTCTTTATTGTTATTGTTTTAAATGTACCATGTGATTTTATTTTTTGTTGTTGCTTGTTGTTTCCTTTGTATGTTCTTCCCCCTATGGTATATCCCTATTGTCACTGTACTTGATTTTGATACCCTGCATCTTGTATATACATTTGTCTAATCTGGGGAGGGGAAGGGGAATAACAAAATGCTGAAACAAGGACACAGGATGACCCATTGTAACAAGGATACCCACAGGACAGTGTATTGGAAACGAACTTTACAACTTCGGGTGGAGGGGAGGAGTGGGGGAGGTGGGGGAAGGCAGGGATAGTGGAACAACAACAAGGGAAGGGGTAACAATAATCCACAAGTAATGTACTCATTGCCTTACTCAGGTAACTGTAACCCCTCTGTACAGCATCTTTACAATAAAATAATAAAACAAGACGTTCTCTGGGAAAACCCACTCTGGTAGCATGCATGGCCCCATAGTATGTCCAGGGTGACCCGAGAAATGCAATAGTATATAACCATTAAATACTTAGTTTTTGAAAATGATATAAGACAATGTAAAGTACTCATGGAAACATCAACTTTACATAAATAATGACACCTATTTACACATAGTCTTGGACCCTGCTCTTTCCGAAGGATAAAGCCAAATGAGAATGTAGTAAGATTGTATAAAGTCTCTATCTGACTGACAGAAAATGACTGTGAGCTAATCTTTTGTTCTATATAGGTTTACATATTTTCTAAGTTCTCCAAGGAGAACACAAATGAATTTTCTAATGAGTAAATGTTAGTATTATAAGCTGATCTATGCATTTATCAGATAGCACTCACAGATTTCCTAAGTTACTAGATTTCCACAGGGATCGTTTCCAATGACCCATTCACTTGGCTGCCAAGTACTTTTCAGTTGTCATTTCCTCCTGATCTGAACAATGACTGCCTCATTTTCACACTGAAATAAAATTCAGCTTCTATGTTGATGAAGTGATTCCCAAGGTTTAAACTGCCCAGACCTCTGGTAAAAGATTTAATTGTCTTTGGTGAGAATTATATTTGGCTTGAAGCAATCCTTTAAAAGGCATGTTCCTATAGTTGCTTGGCAGAGCCGTGACTTAATGGTGCAGAACCAAATTTCAAGTCCATGGTTTTTATAAGAAAATCCAATGCCCGCAGGCACACCACACAATTACCTCATTCTGACGGCCCAATTGTGCACATTTTTCTAGGCCTGCATGCTTTGATTTTTCTCTTTGTTATTGCCAAACGAACTTAGCAAAGGAAACTCCAGTTTTCTCAACAACTTTCTTTGTTTCTTCCTTATTCTTTTACAGCCTAATTTAACACCACTTACAGGGAAAGAGAAGATAGCAAACCTTTGACTTTAGGTTCAATATTGTATTTTCTCATGAAAGTTAAAGGTAGAGAATCAATGCCTTTTCAGGAATTAATTAGGAGTTAGAGGACTGTAATAAATCCTCTCTCACCTACAGTGTTGTTGACATAAAGAAATATGGCATTTTGAAATGCGCAGTGTAAATCATATCACTTGTCTCTGGATATTTCTTTTCCTTATTCAGAATTCTGAGCAAACATGTTGGGTAGTCAACTCTAATTTTTTTATTTGTTCATTTTGTTTTTGAGACAGGTTCTCACTACATAGCTCAGTCTGGCCTTGGACTCATTATGTAGTCTTGGATGATCCATTCTATGTTATGATATTTTCTGGTGGTGCTGGGAATTGAACCCAAGATTTTGTACATGCTAGTCAAGAGCTTTACCACTGACTTACATCCTAGCGTTTGTATTAGCTATTCTGAATTGACCTATGTATAGGATTGAAAGAGCAGACTAGTAATTATTCTACAAACCAGTCATAGGTTGAGAAAACTCATTTTCAAACCTTTGACAAAAAAAAAAAAAAACCTGTGACGTGAAAACAAACAATTGCTGGATTGTTGGTTGTGTCTCTGTGTGTTTATGCCTGAAATACTTGTGTTTCCCCCTTCCACCCTGAGCTCCAGTCGCCTCCCCAAGGATAAGAGTTGAAACACAAAAAGTGGATTTCCTGAAAAGGCACCCGATATCATTTTGTAACTTCATCTTTTCTGATGGTAGAGAAAATTAGGACAAAAACTCAAATACTTCATGTAAGAGAAAGCCAATTCAGATGTAAATTTTTCTTGCATTTTATTAAGAGATAATTATTCCTACTTAGTATAAAACTGCCTAATGCTGTATATTTTGTGATTAAGTTACTTTAAGAGTTCCAATTAAATGACTAGCTCTCCATATTCCTAAAAAAAAAAGTGCCCAAAAGGGAAAGTATTTCACTTAAATTGAACGCAGTCACTTTTTTAAAAATTGTTTTCCCCTTTCATCCCCAACTGGATTGTAGCACTTCAGATGCCAAAATACTAAAATGATTCCAAAACTCTGAACAAAATCCAACAAATAATAAAAGTTTCTCTCACATGCAAATTGTCTTCACAAACCATAGAGCTCATTCTAAACCAATTCTAATGGTGAAGGGAGGGAAAAACTATCTTGTAGCAGGCCCAAGTTATTCATCAAAGTCCTCCGAACTATAATTGCTCAGATT